GCAGAGGTTCCTATGTTGATGTTTTAACCATGATATGTGAAAATCTTTATACAATATTTGAAAAACAGACATCAAACTTGATCAAGAATATTTGTTTTTCTATGTTACAAATTTAACTTTTATTTTATTTTTTTTTAGCGTATCAAAAAATAACCTTCATACTTGTTAACAGAACTTGAGATACAAAGAAAAGAAAGAGAACAATAGTAAAGAAAAAAAAATTTCTCTTAAAAAAAATAGCACGAATCAAATATAAATTATCTAATTCTATATATATATATAGATAATATCAAACATATTCAACTGAGTAATATCATTTAGCTTATCTAAATGGTATATCTGACATTTTCAAATATATAATATTTAACAGTAACAAAAAAAAATAGGAAAATTAAATAACAGAATAGAAAGAAAATAATTCTTTTTCGATAAATTAATTTATCGATTGAAAAAAAAAACTAGTAAACATTTGTTTTCTAGCTACGGATATTTTTACATTTGATTTTTTTTTTGTTTTTTGTTAGGTGGCTCAATTTTTGTTGATGTTATTGATCGTTTTTTTATTGTTATCGGTAAATTTTCTTGATCATTATCACTTGCTAATGCTAATACTATTGAATTTTGATAAAGATTTTTTTCATTTTCAGTTTTTCGTTCTTCATCATTAAATGAATTTATATCGATTTCTTGTAATGGGTGTCGTTTTTTAGTCGATTGTAATTGAATATTATTATCAGAAATAATTGAATGATCAGTTTGATCATTTATAATTGAATCGGATTCGAAACTTGTTTCATGAATTGTTGATAATTTAAGACTTCGATGTGATTTACTAAATCAAAAGAAAAAGAAAATTAGAATAAATAATAAATTTATTTATTTACATTTGTCGATATTGATTTTTATTTGATAATGTTTGTTCTAACTGATCAAGAGTTTTTTCTTTAGTGTTCGATTGGCCAATAAATATTGATTCCATAGAAAAGTTAACTACTTTTTCTTCAAGAAATACGTCTGTTGTTTGGTCAGTTACAATCGATGATAGTCTCAAAGGACTTCTAAACGAAGATAATTAATAAAGATTATATATTCAAAATATACAAACCGTAAAAGACGAGAAGAAGTTGCTGTTGTTGATCTAGTTGTAACATTCTCATAATTATCGTTATTTTCAATAAATACAGGTAAATCTACTATTTGTTTAGCACATACATAAGCGATTGATCGAAGAAAACGACGACCAGCTAATAATGTAGCACCAGATGATGTAGACTAAAACAATAGAAAATTTTTTTTTTAAATCTTAAAACTAATAATTTTGAACAGACTCGAATTGGTGATGTACAAGTCATAAATAGTTGTGTTGTTTGAAAACATTGACAAAATTCTTCAATAATTTCTTTTATTATTAAATCATTTTGATTAAATGATATATCTTTACGTAATTGTTTTAAAATTAATTCTAATAATTTACGAAAAGTTACACTAAAAAATTTAAAAAAAATTCTTTTTTAAACAAAAAAAAAACTATTTTTACATTGATTCAATTTTTAAATGTTCATTCTCTTCAATTATCATTTGTAATTGTTCGATAAAATCAAAAAATTCTTTTATACTAATATAATATTTATCAAATATATGAAATGATTTATCATCATTATTTATGAAATCTTGTTGTAATGATGATGATATACGATTTAATATTAATTCTTTACGTCGAAGAAATGAAAGAAGAATTTGATATATTGTTAAACATTCATTTTTTGATAATTTTGATAAACGTCTCAATTCAACAATTATTTCTTGTTCAATACCATTGTATGCAGGTGTAACAAGACAATGTACAAGTGCATGTTCATTGCGTGTATTCAACAATAATGATAAATATGTACATAATGTATGTTTTATAAAATTCTATGTAAAAAAAAAAACAATAATTTCTTTCATTCAATAGAAAATAGTCTAAGATCTAATGAGAATAATAATCACTATAGTCTATTGTATATGATGTGTTGACTCAGCTTTAACTTTTGATTTGTATTAATTTATACATTTCTCATATGTCACTTGTCTTTTTTCACTATGTAGTTGATGATATCTCGTCGATAGATAAGAAGTTTAGATTTTTAATGTTTTTCGTATCGTTTTTCCAGTAGATCAATATGGGGTTAGTGTATTCTCTCTATTTTTCTACCTATCTTCACAACGAAGGTATTAGTTTAAAAATTTCAAATTTTGTATACTCATCAATATGCGCAACTAGTAACTTTCCATACAGTCAAAAAAAAAAAGAAAATACAAAACTGAAAATACTAATACATATACTAGACATCATGGATTACACAATGGTGGAAGCATTAGCTCTCGAGCTTGTCTAGTTTACTCATATTACATAAAACAAAATAATATACTAGAGATAGAAAAATAATTTTCGCAGTTACTATAGTAATGTCAAGTAAAGAAAAGCTGAAACTAATACTATACTGAGTTTAAAAAATATTTTATGTTATTACAATTCTGCCGTACGAAAAAAAA